AACTGGAGTTCTTTTTTTAGAAACTACGATATGGAAAAATAAAAAACATAAATGGAGACAAATTGAGAAGAGTTATAAACCATAAAATGTATCAGTTACGTTGAGAAATTAGAAACAATACAGATTTTGGAACATTTAGTGGGGCGTACAAAATCTTTCTGCCTAAATTATGTTTTGTCTTTTGTTACTTTTAGCCAGTTCTGCTTTTTATAGCTTTTTCTTTATAAAACATCACTCACAGTGTCTTGTTTCATGAAGCTACATGCACTACACCCGTACGGGCCACCAGTATGTAGATGAACATATGCATGAGATATATTCATCAATTAAACGGATTCTTTCATTTTTCTGGACTGTGTATAATGTACGTGCATTGAATCTAATAAAATGTGGACGGAAACGTTAATTATCTTTGACTCACCAAGACAGTGGGTCATTTATTAACATAATCAAGTTTAACACATCACACATTTACATTAATTGGCAAAATATGAAAAATAACAACATGGCTAGTTTAGCAAACTGTACAATTTTGATTATCCACACGGCGGTGGATGAGAACTTTACACAGACATTTCTAAAATATCTGGAGTGATTTCTACTTGATAGAAGAATTTTAAAGATGGAAGATGAAGTTTAGAGGGAGAAAAAGATGGGTGAGGGGGTTTGTTTATGTCGGCACCAGAAACGACACTCTCCGGGCTCTTCTCAGCTTCTTCCCCAGTACACTTAGGTGATAGAATCAACTCTTTTACCTGGAGATGTCCCCACCGGTACGAAAGTCCATTCAACGCACCCTTTCTGCGTCTCCGTAGGAACAGCTGTGAATCGTCTGAAGTAGTGACGGTATTCCGTCCGACACAGGTTCACCTCACGAGCGGACTTCACATGAGTGGAGTCCGTCAGTGTTCCCCCAGAGGTGGAAGATGTTATAATCCCATAAGACTCGGAAGAGCTCTGTGGTCATGTCAGGATTTTTCTGTTTCCCAGCACGGGAGCTGCAACGACTCTCGACACTCTCCGCCACTCTCCAGACACTCTGAGACTCTGTGAGACTCTGTTGTAAACTAGGAAGTACCGACATTTTAAAGAGCTCTATTTCCGGGTCATCTGGGAGTTTCTGATTGGTCAATGTCGACCAGACAGGGGTGTGTTTTGTGACGTAAGAGGTTACTAGAAGTCAGAAAACAGCAAGAATGTTATGGAACAGATTGAAAATGTTTTTCAGACAGACGAGAGAAATGTTTGGACGGGTTGGGGGAAAACAGCTGCCAACTTCTCTATTTACGTCTGAGAGGATGTAAAAACACGACAGCTCGTTCCAACAACTGGTCTGCGTTCGACTCCGACCTTGGACCAAACTTACACTGCTCATTCAAAGACAGAAAATCAGAAAATGCATAATTACTCTGTAACAGACCTTAACATGAATTCTAACTTTGCATGAGGATTAAAATTATTATTACTGTTTCACAGTTAATAAAAATTGATTAGTTCACTACAACATCTAACATGGTTTGAACTAAAACACTTTGATTATCAAACATTTGTAAAATAGTAAAGATAATAAAAAAGAGTGTTCTTTCACTTGAATTTTCAAGAAAGAAAGTCTCAGGATGGGTCAACCTGTATTTCTGGATTCAAATCAATGAAATGACAGTTCCTGTCCCATATGGTGCCTAAGGTCAAGGTTTTGACCTTCAGGCTTAGCTCACTACAAATACCATTCAAATATCTAAACAAGATAATATAGAATACATAAAGAAGAAATGGGAAAATGAAATTAAAGTAATGATCACACAGGAGAATTGGGAGAAAATATGTCAACTGCAATGGGTCTCGACTGGATCAAACACCTGGCGAGAATTCTGCTGGAAAAATATTGCAAGATTTTTTGTCACACCCATTCAAAAACGACACCAGGGCAAGGGAGATGCTTGTTGGAGACTTTGTGGGACTAAGGGAGCCAACCACTTCCACATTTTCTGGGAGTGCCAGGTAATAAGACCCTACTGGGAAGAGATCCACAAACATATTGAAAATGTATTTAATATAAACATTCCATTCAACTGTGAAACTTTATACTTGGGTAACTTAATGCTTGAAACATGGACAAACAAGGACAAAAAACTTGACTATACTGTTGGCAGCCAGTAAAAAATCCGTCACAAGGAAATGGTTAAAGGCAGAACCACCCACAATTGATGAATGGATTGAAATTGTCTACCAGATTTATGTTATGGAAAAAATATATATAAATATATAAAAAAGAAAAATTTTACCAGAT